CCATTTCCGTCTGGGCTCATTGTAAAGAGCCGCGGCATTTGCGTGCCCCTCCCTCATTATAATGAGCTCTTGGGACGTCTTCCGGGCGGTTTTGCTCATTATAATGCGCCTCCACCCACTCAAACCATTTTCAGACTCCGCACTAGTGGAAAACAACGGATGTTTGTTTGTCTTTGTTTATCTCTCTGATTCCTACAGCTGCTGCCCTGGATCACCGCTTTCGATACTATTTCACACGGGGCTACTCCCGGCGGGTCCGCCACATCTCTCCCTTCCCCCATTCCATTGTACTTTCTTTGCTATTATAGTAGTTTTACATGTGTTACAGATTACTATAGTGCACACAGCACTCAAAACCATTACATTGGCCATCAAGAACCAGGTGTCATGTTTTTATGGTACTTGTGGCCGGTTCTTAGCTGGTGCCACACTACTCTACAGGGCTCAGAAATTTAGATCCCAGTGAATTCAACCAGCGGTGAAAAGTACATTAAATAATGAACCTGATTTCCCTGCATTAATCTAAAGAAAAATTTCGAATGACTCTCATGCTGTTGTATTGGGGGTTGAATATCGGTTCCGCCACATTGGTGCCACATTATTCGCGACTTAGAAATTTTCGTGATAGGCGGCAGTGCCACACTCACCGAACTTGTGCTTTCTGCAGCTGCAAATTGGGCCACATCACTTTGGTGCCGTGAACTCGCTGGTCTGCCTCGGACAGACCATGTTTTTTTCAGGAGCAAGTACAGACCACAAATTACAACAATAATATTTCTAAAGCTACAGTCTAGCATACAACAAACCAGAGACAAAAACAACGGGAGAGCCGCTCAATGATCGTCATCCTCGTCCTCGTCATCCGCTTCGACCTCTTCGTCCCCACCTTCGTCGTCCACTAGCACTTGTAGATCTCGAAGATTCAAAAACACTGTCTCCGGCTGCGGAGGCATTGTGGTACTACCGCCACTCGTGTTGTCGCCGGTCTTCTCCTCAAAATTCGAGTCCATGAGGGCCCTCGCACGGCTACGGACAGCCTCCCACCTACTCTCCAAATCCCTCTCCATACGTCTCTCAAGATCCGCATGCTCAAGCGCATATACAGACAGTCCGTCAGCGAGCTCCGGCGACACATCCGTGCGAGCAGCCGATTGGGACTCCCACCACTTCGCCCTCCACCTACAATACTCGATGGTTCGGCGCATCTCCTCGTAAACAAGCTCCACCTCCTCCGTCCAACGAGCCGCACGGGCCTTGGCTTTCGCCCACTCCATCCGCAGTGCTGTAGCAGTCAATATTACATGTGCCAAAGAAATCGACCATCACTTACCATCATTAAATCCAGGATCAGATCCGTCGTCGTGAATCTGTACCGCCCTCCATATCCATGACATCTTCTGCTGCTTCTCCGGGTATTGCTTCAGTGTTCGTGTGGTGGCGAGGGTGGCGTTGCCACTAGCAGCCTTCTGGCGGGCAAATTCAACCGAGGCCTTGTCTGCCTCTTTTAGCACGGCATCGCTCAAGCCCCGTACGTCCTCGTCCTTCAGCTCCAGGAGTTTCGATCCCAGCCCCCGATCGTTCCATCCATCCTCTCCCAAAAGTGACATCACCGCGGCTCTTGCACGCCGGTACCGAAGCTTCAGCAGCTGCAGACGGCCCTCTACACGCCCGAGCAACTCCTGGGCCCTCGTATTCGTCCGTTGGCCGGTGATGTTGGAGATTTTGTACCGACTCATGAACGTCTTGGTTCGAAGTTGATTGCGGAGACTTTCGAGGGCATCATATGCCTCCGCCTCACGAAGTTGCTGCTCTGTGTCGATAAGGTCTACAGAGCACGTTGTAGCTCGAATGCCGGGTGGGAGACTGGAAGGGAGATGGAGGGGGATGGTTTCGGATTCGGATCGGCGCCCTCTGAACGTCTGTTCGGTAATATTGAGCTTGAGTCGGAGGTCGGGCATGAGGTGGCCTTGGAGATCTCGAAGCCGTTGAATTCGCCGGTAGAGTGAGCTTCGACGGTCCTCTAGTTCTGCGCGCTGTAGATGTGTCGCATGTTTGGACTTTTTCAAGTCCGCCTGGAGCTGAGCTCTTCGTAAATCGTAATTAGTATAGAGGCGCGGGTCAGGAGAACGCGATGAGGGGCTCACTGTTGCACCTCGATGTCCATTCCAAGAACGATGAAGGCGCACTCGCCGGAGTCATCGCGGCCTCGGATAGACGTAACCCCTCGCTCCTGCTCCTTCTGTGTGAGACGGAGCCGAACCTCGCCTATTGTCATCTCTACGAAGATGTGAGCATCGCATGATCGTAAATATGATAACAGAAGAGACTTACCCTGCCGAGGAGCGACAAAGGGACAGTCGATTGCTCGGTCGTCTGACTCGTCCCACGCCTCGTACATCTTCACCCACTCAGCAAATACCTCGGGTGCCTCTTTCTCCAGGTTTTTCTCAAAACCAGCTAAAGCCGCCCGATGGTCCAAACAAGCGGGTATGGCAACAACCAGCTTCTTTAGCAGGCTCGTACCTAGAAAGGAGCGGGTCGAAGCTGGATTAGAAGCCAGGCCAATCAAATTAAACACCACGCCTACCGAGTCTGATTGTCTTCATCCAGTTCGCATAACCAACAAAGTCGTCGAGGGTGTCACGCCGGTGACCGGGCCTCATCTCCTTCGTGCTCGACGCCGCACCGTTGAGAATCGCCCAGATCCTCTCGATCGCCTCGAACTCCGTCTGTGCGAGCCAACGTATAAAGCGAGGAGAGAATAGGGGCTTGCAGCTTTCGATATGGGCTTCGAGGTGAAAAGCGGGGACAACGAATTCTATGTTCTGGATGCTTTCGGAGAGCTGGAGATTCTCGGGCATGTCGTTCATCCGCTCCCAGAAATTGATGCTCCACTGGCATCCGATGTCGTATGAGGAGACGAGGGCGAGGAGCTGGATGCAGATGATGCTGGCCAGGAAGATGTAATCCATATTTCGATATCTACACACTCCGAAATGAGTGTGTGTTAAAATCAAACGAGTATGGATTACACACCTTTCGCCCTTCTGTAGGTCCCCGAGCCCATTTGGCCGTATGCACTCGTGCCTCCCACAACAAACTCCACCCACACCTGTATTCGCAAGGCACTTCGCGCTCTTGTTGTTCGCCTTAGCAAGCGCATTGAATGGCACGCAGTTGCTGAGCTAACGCCTGCATTAAGTATGATGCCCAGAGATAAATAGGAGGAGATGCGGCTTACGACGTCGTCCTCCTCGTCCTTCCTCGAGTACAAGAAGGCCTTGTACGCCCTATCCTCGACAAAGTACGCCAGGCCGTTGCTGAGGGAGATGTCCACAACGGAAGAACTTCGTAACCTTCCCTTCAGTCGAAAATTCGCGTCCTGTGCCAATAGAAGTCGGTATAGCCACCTGTAGGTTCCTCTTCAGCATACAATTCATCAGCATCGTGAGTGATCAACTTACGCCTGTTTCTTCGCCGCATGCTCCCATCCTTGTGGTAGATTGACTCCGGGGATGGGGCAGGCTCTACAGTCGACCGCTAGACTGCCCTGCCGTGTTCCTTTCACCCCTGACGGATCCAAACCACGAGCGCCCCGCTTCAGAAGTAGGAGGTTCCGCCATTCCTGCTCCATGAGCATGAAGGATGGAAGGCGGTCCTGAAGAAAAACTACGCTTAGCCTGAATGATATAGTGAAGCTATAGCGTCGGAGGAGGGGAATAGACGTACTGGAAGAGCCTCAGTGCCATATCCATCCGTAAGTCTGCAAAGCCCTTGGTAAAAGTCGTACGCTGTGATCTTGCCCTGCAGGTTCAAGGTCTGGAATAGCCGGAGGACTTCAAATGTAGCGCACGTTTGGGGGCTGATGGGAGTGGCTGGATACCACCGAAAGCGCATAAGCTGACGCCAATGATCTGCTCTCTGGTGGCATCCGCAGAAGTCGATGGCAACCTGATGGATCCCGTTTACGTGGAGGACAATAAAGTCCTTGTGTCCGTGATGGCTGGACGAACACACCTCGCCGGGTCGATGGCCAAGCTGGACTCGCAAGCCCATAGTGGCCAAACGAACCCTACGGAAGAAACGACCGGTCCACTCCTGCACATCGACGGAAAGGGGGACGGTCAGAGGGGCGTTCCAACAACGATGAGATTATATGGAACTCACCTCCACGATGTGAAGGGGCAGCAATGAATGTTCCTCCACCATACATTGATCACACAGCATCTCCCCCCCGCTACATTCCTTACACCGATAGAGTATGTCCATCTTCCGGCACTTGCCACAGCAACTGGACCCACAAAAGAACCCGCGGCCTTCGGATCGCATGAGCTCGTCGAGGTAATCCTGGCGAAACTGAAGCCATGTCTGCAGAGGGGCGTCCTGATAAATGTAAGAAATTCGGTAAGGGATTCGTGAGCCAACGACCAAAGTGAAGAGTGCGCACCGAGTTGAGGTAGCGTTTTGTGCGCTGCGTAGTTTTTATGGTGAGGCCAGGGATCTCGGTCGGCACGGGTTGGAGGATTTCGTCAGGATCGAACGGAATATCCGGCATGGAGGGAAGAGTAGGGTCGTCCTGGTCGCGCGACATGTCGAAGACATTGTCCCTCGAGTATATGGACGTCGTGATTTGATCCCTTCTTGATCGCGTACGACGATAGCGGCCATCCGTCGAAAGGTTGATTACTTCGACGTCGGTGGTGTTTTTCGAGGCGAGAAATTGCTCTTCGGGATCCAGTAGATCAGAGCCTCGTTTGAGACTGTTCTTCGGTGGCATGAGAGCCAGCCCTGAGCGACGAGTGAGCAAGTAGACAAGACGGGGAGATCGCCACACATCGATGTGCAGGCCACCTTGAGAAGGCTACCGTGGGACATCAACAAAAAAACGCCAGCCGTGTTCAAGCACGTGTTTCGGACGGGATTTTCACACAAGACTCAGGGGATAATCCTACCCCAGTAGAAAGAAAAAGAAAGGCACACTACGATTGAAAATACGCAAAAAAAGACCAAGATGTACACTGCTACCCATTCACAAAACATCCTCCTCGTCCGACAGCTCCTCGCCACCCTCCGAATCCTCAAAACCTCCATCTCCAAAGCAAGCACGATAGTCCGCAGCGAGTTCTTCATATACAGAATATTTACTCAGAGCCTCCATCCATCGTTCGCCCTTCTTCCCGTATGCCTCCCTATGCTGGTCATCCGTCAGTAGCCAAGCCGGTACGAAGCCGTGATGCACCCAGCGAAGAAGTCCGCCCGCGCAGTACTGGGTAAACGAATAACGGGTCTCGTTGGGGCGGACGGGGGTGTTGCCGTGACGAATGGTACTTGAGGGAATGAGAATAAGGGAACCAGGAGGAAACTGAATAATAAGACCAAATTCGAGAAGAATGAGATGGCCACCGAACTTTGGGTCGTAGTTGCCTAGAGCCCATACGGCGCACCACCCGTGGGGAACGTTGCCTGAGTCACAGTGACCTCGAGAGCAGCATTGTGGACCTAAATTGAAAGTACAGGCAGGGAAAACAGCGTTTTTGAATGGGCGTCGACAGTGGGGATCATGCGCGTACAGCGCCTCTGTTTCGTCTGCGTATTGTTTGTATAACTTTGGCGCATATGTCATGAAGGCGGCTGAATAGAAGCCACATCAGCGAGATGAAAATAATGAAACGACAACCGTACTCACAGCTTGCGAAGCCAGCCATTCTTTTGAACGGCTTGCCCCTCAGCAGGCGGCCGACCAAAGGCACCTGGCAGACCTTCTCCGCTTTGAGGATGCCGGGTTCCTGAAAAGAACACAGTCAGCGGGGAACAAGGAGCGGGCATACAGACATAAGCAACCTGCTGACCACCGCCGTACGACACACCAGTCGTCATCGCAAGAAAATCACCCCGTCGAGCGTCGTACTGCTTATCCGTCCAGGCATCCATAGCGTCACCTTCGATGCGCGTTTGCTCGAGAAGAGCAGCGGCAGGTTCAGCGACGTCGGGCTGCCAGTTCGGGTCGTTTGGTCGTCCAGCTAGCACACCGAGGATCCTCCTGCGCTGGTCGATGATGGCGTGGGGAGTTCTGGAATACAGAATGAGCAAACATAGAGAAAATATTGAAGAAGGAAGAAAGGCGTACATGCCGTCCCACTCCTCAAGCCTGCACCCCAATCTCAGCGCATACTCCACCGTGTAATCATCCGTACCGTACATCTCATCGACCGGGCGATTTTTGCCAACATACGCCCCCTCCGCCACCGATGCGTCCTCCATCTCAACATCAGTGTTGATGGTGATCGGTTTCCCCCACCTATCCATGGCATGCTTCGGGAGTCGATACTCCGATGGCAAAGGACCCGCCTCATCATCCGCCTCTGCAGCCGCTGCAGCCTCCTCTCTCCTCAAAGCCCTCTTCTCCTTTTTCCTCTGCCGCTGAGTCTCACTCGCCCTTCTCGGCGGCAGCTTACCATTCTCCTTCTTCCTCTGCTTCTTCGCCTTGTTCCTCTCCCTCTCCTTGGCCAACCTCTCCTCTGACCAACCGCCTCTCCTCCTCTTCTTGGTAGAACTGGCTTGGGAAATGGACTCTGCGTACGAGGTGGAGTCTGACTCTGCAAGGAGAGGAGGACAGTCGGAGAGGTCGGAATCGCAGAGTTCCGCACACGAACAGGACCGTAAGGGCTCCGACTTGTGGCCGCATTGGGGCGGAGGGGCAGGGGCGGGTGGGTTTGTGGAGGTGACGGAGCTCGTGTCAATGGAGCTACCGTTGACGGGAGCGAACTCGACGGAAGTGGCATCACCTGGAGCGTGTTCGACGGAGGTGGCGTTGACTAGAGCGAACTTGACGGAGGCAGCATCGGGCTGGACGAGTTCGACAGAGGTAGTGTTGGCTGGAGCGAGCTCAACAGAGGCGGCGTGGTCGGAAGTGCGATCAACGGAATTCGTGCCCATGGAGACGGCAGAGATCAGACCTGGATTGGGGGAGGTGTTACCGACGGAGGTGATGGGTCGGCCACCGGAGGTAGAGGTGTCCACGGCGGTGGAACGAGTGTTCAGCCTTGCCTGGCGTCGCTGTTCTTCGTCCTCCTCCCAATGAGCCTGAGACTTGTCCCACGCGGCATCCATGAGGCGCTCGTAATCGAGCGCGACCTGAAGCGGGGCGCCGTACGCGGTAAATTCACGGCCTTTGCGGGTTTTGCCGGACATTGCGCGGTATGGGGATCTAGCCAAATGCACAGAAGGAGACTTGTCAGTATACGAACATCTAGAAAGTAGGAGGCAAAAAAGAGAGGAGAAGATGTAAAACACGTCGACACGCGTAGAAAAACGCGTCACATTGCACAATAGCAAATGAGACGCGTCCCTGCGTGGGCGAGAAAAACGCGTCGCGGTCTACAAAACCCAAACACCCCAAGCAATGAACACCGCCGTTCAACACAAAGCAACCTCACACGCTCGTGCTAAAGCTCCTGTCGGGCCTACTGCTCTGCGGATCGGAAAGGAAAGTGGACGACACATATTCATATACTGGGGGCATATGAGCTCTGGAGACGCAAAGAGAACGCCTGTACGGAAGGTGATACAGTAAAATAAAATTCAACGACATACTTAGGGGAGGGAGAGCTTGAGCAGAGGTGGGCGACGCAGTTGCGACGCAGTTGGGGATTGAGGTGGATACGGAGGGGAAAAAAGGGTGCGGTCCAGACTTTAAATAACCCTAAACTCGGACCCACAAGTTGGCCTGATCGCCGTGAGCATCGTGGTCGGATGCGCGCCTATGCGCGCCAACTTAGACAGTTGTGGCGTGCAGAACTCCGGGCCACAATGAAAGCTAGAGCGATAAGCAAAGAAAAGTATGAACGGATGGTACTTGCAAGTGCTTTCAAACAGGAGACATAATTGAGGTGACTATTAAATTTGAAGAAAGCAGAGCTGTGTGCAGGAACTGGTAGTAGATAGTGTGGCCACCCGTGAACGCCCTCATCCTAGAAACATTTGAGATGCTGGTAGATCTAACGTATGAGGACTTGTACAATAGGAGTGTGTATAGTACATACGTGCTTCGTTTGATAGAGAATAACTCTGTATATCTACATGCGTACGCAAAGTGGGTTTGTGTTGACGTACCGACAGAGACTTCAAGTTTGTTGCGCTGCGCGCATCAACTTCAAGTGCTCTTGTATTGCACAGAAGCCGTCTATAACTTAATTGAGATGGCAGGACTCTCTACGGAGAACTATTGCCATCTCTACCATACATCACTCAGTGAGGTGTCAAAATCAGTGGCTGGTTGTTCGAGTGTTTGTTTTACAGTCGGCGAAGGTTGAGTTTGTATCATGTCTGCTCTACTGAAGTCGTGCGCGCTTCAGTGCTTCAGTCGTTCGTTCTATAGATGCACCTCTGACCTTCATCAACGGCTACACATTATCGTGAGCTCTGAAAACCACGCAGATGGACTGGGACATACCTAAGAGATACACAGACAAACTTCGGGGCACCCTTGTTGCCTGTATTTAATTGTAATCCAGCTAGAACTGTGAAGCAAGTCTTGATTGCGTTCCCGTGGCGCGTCACTTTTCAAAGCCATTCCCGACATGCTCAGTTTGCGTCAGTTTCCTCAAACCTGTTGCTTTTGGCAACTGCACATGCTATCGAGGCTTCTCGATGGTAGCATCCAGGCCAGCAATACA